CAAAAAACATATAATAATTTTTAAAAAAATATTAGTTGTCTCAATTCGAAAAATAAGTAAGCATCAATACTTGTCGATAAAAGGTAAAAAAAAAAAGAGAGAGAAGTTTCTCACTATGCAAATAGAAAAAAAATGAAAATGAAAATGAAAAGAAACAAAATATGGACCATGGATAAAATTTTAAAATATATAGTACAAAAAATAATATTTATCATAACAAGTTGCAGAAAGTAAATTTTTGAAAGTTATTATGCTAGCGATAAACCAATATAAAAGAATTTGATTACAAATCAATCTACTTTTTTTAATGAAATCTTATAAGAATTTAAGTCACAAATTGATTTTTTTCAAAGAAAATTGAGAGAAACAATAAAAAGAATAGAGAGATCGGAACTATAGAATCCCGAATTTTTCTTAGTTAATTCGTATATATTTTATTTGCCATTTAATAGGAATTGAATAGGTTAATTATTAATAATTATAAAATCTAATTAAGAGGTAATTGATTAAAAAACGTAATCATAGCTTACAGATTTTGGTCAAAGCAAATCATGTGGAATTTGAATTCTTTAACTAACTTTAATATTGGAATAAAATATGATTATGCATGCAATTCATCCTTTTTTTTCACGTGTGCATGAATTATGCAATCATGATGTCTCCTAATTGGACCAATTTCTAGGATGAATGAACGGAATTTAAAGCCCCACTAGCGTGATTAATTCCTACGTGGTTACTACACCATATTTTAGTATATTATCTATACGACATAAAAACTTAAGCATTCTACAATTAATTCCTCATTCTGCAGTACACTTCTGTACGTCCATTCTCTCTCCCTCTTTAAAATATTTCTCCATATAAAGGCTTTTTAAGGTTTTGGAATTACAATAAAGAATCACGTTTTCTGCAATTTGTTCTCCACATTCATCTTCAAAAGGTGAGATGCTCAGTACTATCAATGATTTTTCCACATCTTTTAAAATACGTTATTATGTATGAATTTAATTATTTCAGTTCAGGGCTCCTTCAGGAGAAATCATGATACTTCTTAAGGCACAATTTAGCCTTCACGTTATTTTGTAGTGCTTGTTAGAATTATCATTTGTCATGGTGTGATAATTCTCATTTTATGTTGGTAAGAGAATTTATGCATAATTTCATGTTTGATTTGAATGTGGAATAGCAAACATCTCATTGAGAATAATTCGTTATATTTATCCCTCTTTAATTACAATTTTCAGGTAAAAATTAGTATGCTTGACGGCTTGGATGGATCTGCTATTGGACCAACGGATCCTCGTCATGCTGTACTTTAATTTTTGGAAACACTAGAATTTTTAATAATATTTGATTTTCTTTCTGACTCAATTGTGAGTTCGTTATTACTTTTAACTAGTTCTAATTTTATTGTTTGTTAGAGCTAGTTTTTAATAATGTTTGCTAAAAGTTACGATTCCAAAACGTTCCACATATTTTATTAAATTTAATTTATCTTTGTTAAAGATTATTCAATTTTTACTGAATTTCTCGTTATAATAAAATTATTTATTTCAAGCACTTTGATAAATTCATGTTTCGTAACGCGTCGAGTTGCTAGAATTTGGGGCGTTACAGAATGGTATTCTGTAGACTAAAAAAAAGGAGGGCTATACGTATTTAATCCTTTGGGGGGAATTCATTGTTTGAGTTTTCTTAATTTGTGTATTCGTAAAATTAAAAATGTTTTGTCAAAAAGATCTAAACTATCTAAGGTGAGCTTGGGATTTAAGCGGTCCACTCGTGAACCCCCCCCCCCCCCCCCCCCCCCCTCGTGAACCCCCCCCCCTCCCTCACCTAGAAGCCTTTTTTGTTGTATGTTATTCAAATCAATAAGATGAAAAAAAAAATATTTTTAAACGCACTTCAAATTTTAAGAAAAATCCTTTCATTTTAGAAACTTTTATAGAAAAAAGAAAAAGAAATCCATTTTACAAAATTTATATATAATAATAATAATAATAATAATAATAATAATAATAATAAGTTACGAGATCCATGGAATCCAATGCTCATCAATCTGCCATTGTCCAATATTTTTAAGGTATGATGAAGAATATATTTATTGATATTATCCTTTATATTTTCATGCATACTAATTAATTACATAATCTCATGAGTTTTTCCTTACACATCATTTTATTCCAGAGAAGAATGTTAATTAAGCATATTATTATTTTGCGTCGAATCACACGATTAATAATATGATTAACATATAACTAAAAACCTTAATGCATAACATTTGGCCTTAGCATAATATACATGACAGGTATGGCTAAACATAGAAAGACCTATAGGAAGAGTGTAGCATGGTTGAATAGTTCTTAACATAAATTACTTTTACTTAAAGGCAATGGCACGACAACAATAAGATCAATCTACTATGTTCAGAGAATTGTTAAAGATAGTGCAAGACTTAAAGCAGGCAGCAAGCTCAAATGACACCTAATAATGCAACAGAAAGTACCAACACCATGAGCTCGATTGTAGAGCAGTTTCGTCATTTTAAACTCCCATCCTTTGATGGTAAAGGTGACCCTTTCGCAGTGGAGGAGTGGCTGAGAAGACTAGAAGGGATCTTCGAGCACATGAACTACAACAACGCTCAAAAAGTTTCCTGTGGAAAGTTCATGCTAACTAACGATGCTGGGCATTTGAGGGATTCTGAAGCACGTACTAAGACTACAGAACAACTACGTAATCTCACATGGAATCAATTCAAGGAGTCGTTGATGGGTAAATACTTTCCCCAACCATTGAGGGATCAAAAGGAGGTAGAATTTCTCCAACTCACGCAAGGGAGTTTGCCACATAGGGAGTGCGAAAGAAAATTTGAGCAGCTTTCTAGATAATCTCTGCACATGGTAAACACTAAGCTAACGAAGGCTAAAAGGTTTGAGATGGGGTTAAAGCCAGAGATTAAGGGAATCATGACAGCCCAGCAGTATACTACTTATGCGAAAGTTGTACATCAAGCACAAGCAATTTTTAATGGTTTAGGATTGGAAAATAAACCTCAATCCAGCACTGAGAATTCTGTAAAGAGAAAGTGGCAAGTTCACGACAAAGAGAAAGGTAGGAATCAGAGTAAGAAAGTAAAGATTTGGTCAGACTCAACCAAAACATTTCCCCAGTGCTCCAATTGCAACAAGTGACACTTGGGAAAATGTCTTTGTAAGGCCCCAATTTTCTATAAACTCCAGAACATTACAAAAAACTCATTTTTCTTTATTTTAAGTGCGAAACTATAAAAATAAAATTCTTTATTAAACAAATAACTGCAACCTTTATAAATCTAAATTTAAAACATGAAAGTTGTATATAAACATAACATAAACTCATAATTAATTCCAATAACACGTTCGGAACAAAATTAAACTAATTGGTAAATTTAAAGACGGCAAACTTATTTCGTTTTCTTTTCATTTGATCCACTTGGCAGCCCGCATCACTATTCCACACCGTTCCAATCGACCCGAACTAACCTGTAAAAATTGTAAGAGTGAGTATTCGAAAACACCGAGTAAGATACGTGTAGTTTCCATATGAAGATATATAACAATAAAAATCTACATTTCATACCACTCTGCTCTTATAGAATATATCGGTGACCAAGTGATACACCCATCTTAGGTCCTCTTTTATCCTGTAGGATTTCATATCTCTTAAAAAACGAATGTCTAGTGACAATCCATGCATATTTAATTGCATATAAGAGCATAAGGAAACGAAAACACTTTGCACATTAATGCATCTTACCTCGTTAGAAAAAAAAATCTGAAGCACATTCAAAATCTTTTCTCCGCTTTGAAAAATAAGTGATTAAAATATTCAACGTACGCAAACTTTATTTCTAATGTCGCTCTCTCTCTCGCTCTCTCTCTCTCTCTCTCTCTCTCTCTCTCTCTGCCATGTGTATTGTATTTTTTTTTTTTGGTAGTCAATGATAAGGCTTTTGACTTTGTATTTATGGTTGAAAAAGACAATAGAATTTTGGTAAAATTGGGATGAAAGAGACGTGTACCACCAAATTGGATAAAGCTAAATTTTTTTGATAAAGCAAATCATGATGTGATTCATGTATTTGATTGTGATAAAGATATATATATAATTAATACTTATTAAATCAAAAGTAGAATCATGGCCAACCACTACAATTACAATTACACTGTAGAATTCCTATATATCTACACGTGTATTCATCCTAACAAGTGATTTGAGTTTTGGATTAGCTGAAAGAATTGTACTCATTTATCGACACTCAATTTGCCATCCTTATATATATATATATATATATATATATATATTATTTATATTGGTTTATGATTTGGTGTAGTTGGGGCCACCAGTTTCACGTGTAGTAGAATTAGAATATTAACTTGCATTGGGTAGCCACATGAAGGGTTTTAGGCAAAGAATTATTATATATATTCTTAGAATTGCAATATCTTTGGCCTAACTTATCCAAATTAACTTTTTCTCGAGCCTAAAATTCATGATTTAATATGACCTATCCGACAAGCACAATATTGATATATTAAATCTTGATCTGTGAAAATCTAATTATTAGACCCAAATAAAAGAATAGGAATTTAAACTTATTTCATTTTAGTCACATTTATTATTATTATTATTTTTCAAAATAATAAAATATACTATATAAAACAAATAGCTTTTATTTTTTAAATTTTCGGGGCATTACGATCTCTCTTCCTTAAAAGAATTCCATCCTTAAAATTTACCTGCGTTCGAGTCTTCTGTGGCTTGTCCTTGGGCTAAAATAAAAACTCTAGCCTCTCCCTTCTTTTCTGGCTCATCATTCTTCTTCAAAAGGTCCTCTTTGCAGTTTTTGGAAATATGCCAGGTCTTACCGCATCTATAGAACACATGCTTCCTATACAGACATCCACCCTATGTATTTTCTTGCACTTTGGACAAGGTGGAACGACTTGTCGAAAACCTTATCCGAAGTTAGCCTTCTTGTTCTGTCCTTCTCCTTTCTCCTTGTTGGACCCATTCCATTTCCTCTTTCTTGAAGGTTCGGCCCCTTGCTGGGGAGTTTGATCAATTTCCAACCTATTTGAGATTGCTTGGGCAGCCAGCAATAATCGGCTATAGGTGGTGAATTGGTGGGATGCCAGTATTCCACCAATCTCAAGGTGCAATCCCAGTTCAAACCTTCTTGCTTTCTTTGCTTGAGTATCCACTAGGTGTGGTGCATACCTTGAAAGTTGTTCAAATTTTCTCTCATAATCCTCAAGCTTCATTTTTTCCCTTGTTTTATGTTGAAGGAATTCTATCTCCTTTTGATCTCTTAGAGCTTTGGGAAAGTATTTTTCCATCACTTTGTCCTTAAATTGTGTCCACGTCAGAGCACGTTGTTGTGCTTCTACTCTAGTACGAGATGTAGACACCTTCCAATGGCCTGCAACGTCAGCCAACATGAGTTCTGAACATAACACCTTTTGAGCATAAGTGCTAGATAGATGTTTAAAGATTTGCTCCATTCCTCTTATCCATTCTTCGGCTACCAAACGTCTGCCTTTCCATCGAAGATTGGGGGTTTGTAGCGATGGAACTATTCCACAATTGAGCTGATGTTGTTAGTGTTTGCACCATAAGGACCAACCTGTGCTTGTTGCCTACCCAAATCTTGTACCGCCCTTAGCAAATCCATGAAGATCGTAGTTTGGTTTTGTCGTTGTCTCGATATGTTTTTAACACGAATAAAATTTTAATTTAGAAATATTTAATAAAGCAACCTAATATTATTAATAATCTTTGTAATAACGAAGAACTTTAAAAATATAATTTCCAGATCCTTACATATAGTAATGTGCTCTTCAAAATAAAATAAATAAATAAACAATTAAAATTTTTCTAAGTAAATAAATAATACTTATTTCTAATCCCTATGAGTCCTAAAAAAAATCTTCTTTTACGGCATCTCATCATCCGAAGTAATGCATGACTTTGACTCGGAATCTGCAATCAAATCAATGAAATTTTGTGGTTGGATTTCTTGCTTAGGATCTTCCGACTCTGGTTTGATATCTTCCTCTGGCTCCTCCTCCGGGTAATCCTCTAGCTCTGGCTCGGGTTTTGGGTTCGAGCTCGGGCGCCAATGCTTGTTGTCTATGATTCCATAAAATTATGATATTCTCACAGTACCCTTTAAAATCAATCTAATCCCAATCTTCTTTGAAATATAACCCATAATCCATATCCCTCACGAAGTAAGCCACGTCTCTCCATTAAGGTCGTATAGTGCTTATAAGGAGGTATATCGAGAGGATTGTCCCCTCATTATATCCAAATGATCTTGCTCGCTCCCACTTAGAAAGAAAATCTTCAACATGTTCAACAAAAGTTCGCTCCCATCTTACTTCATAATTTATGTAGTTCTCAATGGCCATTTCAGCACGCTGGAGGTAGGTTGGGTAATTCCTAGTCATCCTAATCACGTGACAATTATAATTTCAATTATGTTTAATCTTACATTATCAATTTGTTTTATTCTCAATGCATAAACGATATTCTAGTAAAATGAAAAAGATGACAGTTTAATTATGCGAGGTGAACATACTTATACATTTCATAACATGTAGAAATATGACTCATAACCATGCTAGAAATTAAGAATGAAACGAATTCATTTCATACCTGGGATCAACTGGAGGGTAGTCGAATGGTGAGCGCCACGTGCCAAGTGTTCTTATAGCATTATTTTTTTAAAAAAAATTACATTATCCTTTAAACTCCCTATTTTCTTTTTCTTTTTTTTTTTAAAAATAATTTGACTATAATTATTTATAAATTTCATAGAATAGAAAAAGTCAAGAAATAAAAGTTCCTAACAGTAGTATCGTTATTTAAAATCACATTAGAAATGGTTATTTAAACACAAACATATAATACATACATATACATCCTTGTAAATAAAATCATAACACATAAGTACTAATAGAACTATATAACAACCACTTATATTATAAAAATTAATATTTACTTAAAGGTAATTGTCGGGTAACATTTCAAAGTATGTATACAATTACATATTAATTAAGGCATGTAATCATATTTTACATAAAAATTTCACAAAATCCCTTTATTATTATTATTATTACTACTACTACTACTACTACTATATATCATAACTGTATATGTATATATCTTTCAATAAAATTTTCTCAAAATAGAAGTTTCAAAATTTTGAATTTTCTTAAATTTAGAATTCTCTGAAATATTGTCTTTTATCTTGTCGATTTGAATAGCGCACAATTAAAAGGCTTCAAGATGAGGAGGGGAGTCACAGACGGACAACTTAAATTTCAAGCTCTTCTTAGATAGTTTAGGTCCTTTTAACAAAGTCTTTCAATTTTGCAATTACGCAATTCAACAAAATTCAAACAATAAATCAAACATGAAATCTCTTAAAATATCAATTTTTCAAAGATTCATTTTTAAAACATCTCCAAAGGCTAAAGTTAAAACACATAAAAATTTATCACATGTAAGATTTAAACCATAGGCATGAGACTATAACAATTTAAATTCTAGATCACTATTACTTGAAATCAATTTAAACAATCATTTATTCTTCAAATTAAAGAGGCAAATGCATAAAAATAAATGGGTATTGATGTGAATGGTAATCCAAACTACTACAAAATGAGACAAAAATCTATAACAAAAAAATTGTAATATTCAAAGTATATCATATCACATTTAAAATCCTAGAACTCTTTGCCATGTCATGTAAAGCTGGAATTTTTTCTTTGTCTTTACTGTTCACGTGAACAGTACATGAACAGTAATTGTATTGTTACTGTTCACATAACATTGTTCAAATCTCTTTTTCCAAAACCTTTTTTTAAAAATATCTTACTATTCACATGATCAATACCGTATTGTTCACGTGGACTGTTCAAAATTTTTCTTTATCAAAACTTTTTTTTTTCAAAAACAAGTCTACAAGAAAGTCAAACCATGCTCTGATACCAAGCTATAAGACCCCAATTTTTTATAAACTCCAGAACGTTATGAAAAACTCAATTTTCTTTATTTTAAGTGTGAAACTATAAAAATAAAATTCATTATTAAACAAATAACTGCAACATCTATAAATCTAAATTTAAAACATGAAAATTGTATATAAACATGACATAAACTCATAACTAATTCAAATAACACGTTTGGAGCAAAATTAAACTAATTGGTAAATCTAAAGACGGCGAACTTATTTCGTTTTCTTTTCATTTGATCCACTTGGCAGCCCGCATCACCATTCCACACCATTCCAATTGACCCGAATTAACTTGTAAAAATTGTAAGAGTGAGTATTCGAAAACATCCAGTAAGACACGTACAATTTCCATATAAAGATATATAATAATAAAAATCTACATTTCATACCACTATGCTCTTATGAAGTATATCGGTGACCAAGCGACACACCCATCTTAGGTCCTCTTTTATCCCGTAAGATTTCATATCTCTTGAAAAAACGAATGTCTACTGGCAATTCATGCATATTTAATTGCTTATAAGAGCATAAGGAAACGAAAAACACTTTGTACATAAATGCATCTTACCTTGTTAGAAAAAAAATCTGAAGCACGTTCAAAATTTTTTCTCCGTTTTGAAAAATAAGTGATTAAAATATTCGATGTATGCAAACTTTATTTCTAATGCTACTCTCTCTTCCTTTTTCTCTCTCTTTCTTTCTTCTCTATCTTCCTTTCTCTCTCTCTCTCTCTATCTTTGCCGTGTGTATTGTTTTTTTTTTTTTTGGCAGTCAATGATAAGGCTTTTGACATTGTACTTATAGTTGAAAAAGATAATAGAATTTTGGTGAAATTGGGATGAAAGAGACGTGTACCACCAAATTGGATAAAGCTAAATTTTTTTGATAAAGCAAATCATGATGTGATTCATGTACTTGATTGTGATAAAAATATATATAAATAATACTTATTAAATCAAAAGTAGAATCATGGCCAACCACTACAATTACAATTACACGATAGAATTCCTATATATCTGCACGCGTATTCATCCTAACAAGTGATTTGAGTTTTGGATTAGCTAAAAGAATTGTACTCATTTATCGACACTCAATTTGCCACCTTATCAAATGTAATTTGGATTATCTGCATAAAAGAATCCTACAATAGGGTTTTTAAAAAATACAAAGGCAAGGAATGACTGGGATTTTTCAAAATAAATCTAGCTTAGATTTATTTAAAATTAACTTAACCTTTGTCCTAAAATAAAAGATTAATAATTCTCTACCTAAAACCCCTCATGTGGCTACCCAATGAAAGTTAATATTCTTATTCTTCTACACGTGAAACTGGTGGCCCTAACCACACCAAATCCTAAATCAATTTAAATAAAAAAAATCTATTCTTAGAACTGCAATATCTTTGGCCTAACTTATCCAAATTAACTTTTTCTCGAGCCTAAAATTCATGATTTAATATGATCTATCCAACAAGCCCAATATTGATATACTAAATCTTGATCTGTGAAAATCTAATTACTAGACCCAAATAAAAGAGTAGGAATTTAAACTTATTTCATTTTAGTCACATTTATTATTATTATTATTATCATAATAATAAAATATAGTATGTAAAACAAATAGCTTTTATTTTTTTAAATTTCCAGGGCATTATAGTCTTCAAGAAAAGGGAGTATGCTACATTTGTGGTAAACGTAGTCACTTTCTTAGAGAATGTTCAGAGAAGAAGAAAGAAGGTGACCAACTTAAGAACGGAAAAGCTAGAGTATTTGCTTTGAGGGGGGAAAAGGAGGATCAAAACACAAACGTAATAATAGGTATGTTACCAGTATTTGACATACCTATTGTTGTTCTTATGGATTCTAGTTCGACTCATTCATTTATTTTTACGATTTTTATGGATAAGATTGGGAATGGATGCGTAAAAATGAGTAACATTTTAGAAGTTAGTCTACCATCAAGCGAAGTCATTAATACTAATCGAATGGTTAAAGGTATTAAGTTAGATATTGAAGGAAAAGTACTAAAGACAGATTTGTACATCTTGGGAATGAAAGACTTTGATGTAATTTTGGGTATCAACTGGTTGGGTAGAAATTATGCAACTATTTTATGCCATAAAAATGAAGTTTTATTTCAAAAACCTAGAAAAGAAAAATTTCGATTCTTTGGAACTAGAATTGGGACTCTACCTCGATTGGTATCTACAATGAAAGCAGAAAAGATGTTGAGAAAGAATACGTGTCAAGGATTTTTATTGAATATAAATAGTAAACCCTAGTCCGAAAGAAAAATAGAAGAAGTGCCCATGGTTAATGAGTTCGTGGACGTTTTTCCTGAAAATTTACCTGGTATACCGCCTGATAGGCAAGTAGAGTTTGCAATTGACTTGGCCCATGGGGCAACACCAATATCTAAGGCTCCTTATAGGATGGCACTAAAAGAATTACAGGAGTTAAAGATACAACTACAAGAATTGTTGGATAAGGGTTTCATCCGGCCTAGTGTATTCCCATGGGGGAGCGCCAGTATTGTTTGTTAAAAAGAAAGATGGGTCAATGATGATGTGTATTGATTATAGAGATATTAATCATTTGATTGTAAAGAGCAAATATCCACTCCCAAGGATAGAAGATATTTTTTATCAATTGAAGGGTGCAAAGATGTTCTTAAAAATAGATTTGAGATCGGGTTATCATCAAGTCAAGATAAAGGATTGTGATATCCCTAAAACAGCGTTTAGAACACGGTATGGGCACTATGAGTTCACAGTGATGCCATTTGAGTTAACCAATGCACCGACTGTGTTTATGGACTTAATGAACCGAGTTTTTCATCCATATCTAGATCAATTTGTTATAGTCTTCATCGACGATATATTGGTATTCTCAAAGGATAAGCATCAACATGAAGAACAGTTACGAGTGGTATTGAATACCCTTGGAAAGGAGAAGTTGTACGCCAAATTCAAAAAATGTGAATTATAGTTAGATCACATTGACTTCCTTGGTCATGTGGTTACTGTGCAAAGAATTGAGGAAGACCCAGCTAAAGTTGAAGCTGTAACAAACTGGGCTACACCGACCAATGTGGGTGAAGTTCGTAGTTTTTATTATCGGGGATTTATTGAAGGATTTTCTAAGATAGCTGGTCCACAGACACATTTGGCTACAAAGGGAGTGAAGTTATAATGGTCAGATAAGTGCGAAAGTAGTTTTCAAGAACTGAAACAGAGATTAGTTTCAGCACCAGTACTGACTATACTAGAAGGTTTGGAAGGATATGTTATATACATTGATGCTTCTAAACAAGGTTTGGGATGTGTGTTAATGAAATATGGAAAGGTTGTAACCTACCCCTCTAGACAGTTGAAACTATAAGAATAGAATTACCCAACACATGACTTAGAACTTGCAGGTCGCACAATAGTTCACGCACTAAAAATATGGCATCACTATCTATGGCGGTAAATGTGAGATATACACCGATCGCAAAAGTCTCAGATACCTCTTTACTTAAAAAGAGTCAAATATGAGACAAAGGAGATGGCTAGAGTTGGTTAAAGACTATGATTGCACCATTCTTTACCACCCAGGTAAAGCCAATAGTTGCTGATGCTTTGAGTAGAAAGACAAATGGAAAGTTGATAGTTCCAAAACAATTAGTTATAGAATCTGAAAATTTGAGGTTAGAGGTGGGTGCACCTTCTGTACTGAAAATAGCTATTGTTGTCGCTCTAATGATTCAACCCACTCTTAGAGAGCGGATTAGAGAAGACCAGAAGAATGATCCATTTGTGTAAAAGCATGGCTGGAGTTGGGACAAATAAGCAAAAAGGATTTGAGATAACTGATGATAAGGTACTTATATATAAAGGTAGAATATGTGTTCCTAAAGATGAAGGATTAAGGAAAGAAATTCTCGAAGAAGCACACTCTACCGCTTATACGGCACATCTAGGCGGTACAAAAATGTATCTAGACCTTCGAAATATATTTTGGTGGAGAAATATGAAAAGAAAAATAGGACTTTTTGTAAGTAAATGAATGGTCTGTTAGCAAGTAAAAGCTGAACATCAGAGACCTTTAAGGTTGCTTAGACCACTAGATATACCGAAGTGGAAATGTGAACACATTACCATGGATTTTGTGGTAGGATTTTTGAGATCGGCGAAAGAGAACAATGCTATCTAGGTAATAATAGATCGTTTTACAAAGTCAGCCCATTTTCTTCTGGTTAAGATCACATTTACCATGGAACAATATGCACAAGTTTATGTCAAAGAAATAGTCGGGTTACATGGGGTTCCTATTTCTATTATTTTAGATAGAGACCCGAGATGCACGACAAAATTTTGGCAAAGTCTACAAAATGCTATGGGAACAAAACTAAAATTTAGTACTGCATATCACCCATAGACTGATAAACTGTCTGAAAGGACGATTCAGATACTCGAAGATATGTTAAGAGCTTGTGTACTAGTTCTCAGTGGTAGCTTGGAATCACACTTGCCTTTAGTAGAATTTGCCTATAACAATAGTTTTCAAGCAACTATAGGCATGGCACCTTACGAGGCACTATATGGTAGGAAGTGCAGATCACCTATCTGCTGGGATGAGGTTGGAGAGAGAAAGATTCTTGGACCTGAGATCATAGACCGAACAGTACACGTTGTGGAAAAGATTCGAGACAGAGTTAAGGTTGCTCAAAACAGGCAAAAAAGCTATGTCGATAGAAGAAGAAAAGATCTCGAGTTCCAAATTGGTGACAAAGTATTTCTGAAAGTAGCTCCAATGAAGGAAATACTTAGATTTGGAAAGAAAGGAAAATTGAAACCAAAATTCATTGGACCATTCGATGTATTAGAAAGAATAGGAGATGTGGCATATAGACTAGCACTGCCACCAGAACTTTCAGTAGTACATAATGTTTTTCACGTATCGATGTTGTGAAAATACTTACAGGATCCTTGTCATGTGATCAACCATCAAAATTTAGAAGTACAACATGATTTAACCTATGGAGAAATGCTATTGAGGATATTAGAAAGAAAGATTCATGCACTGAGAAATAAGGAAATTCCCTTAACCAAGGTCCTTTGGCGTAACCATGGAGTGGGAGAAGCAACTTGGGAAAAGGAAGATGAGATGAAAATCAAGAATCCTGAACTTTTCAACTAATCCAAGGTAAATTTCAAGGATGAAATTATTTTAAGGAGAGTAGGTTGTAGAATCCCAAAATTTTCTTAGTTAATTTGCCATTTAATAGGAATTGAATATGTTAATTATTAATAATTATAAAATCTAATTAAGAGATGATTGATTAAAAAACATAATCATGGCTTACAGATTTTGGTCGAAGCAAATCATGTGGAATTTGAATTCTTTAATTGACTTTAATATTGGAATAAAATATGATTATGGATGCAATTCATCCATTTTTTTCACGTGTGCATGAATTATTGAATCATTATATCTCCTAATTGGACCAATTTCTTGGATGATTAGCGTGATTAATTCCTACGTGGTTACCACACCATATTTTAGTTTACTATATATATGACATAAAACCTTAAGCATTCTATAATTAATTCCTCATTCTGTAGTACACTTCTGTACGTCCATTCTCTCTCCCTCTTTAAAATATTTCTCCATATTATTAAGGTTTTTTAAGGTTTTGGAATTATAATACAGAATCACGTTTGTTACAATTTGTTCTCCACATTCATCTTCAAAAGGTGAGATGCTCAGTGATATTAGTGGTTTTTCCACATCTTTTCAAATACATTATTATGTATGAATTTAATTACTTCAGTTCAAGGCTCCTTCAGAAAAAATCATAATATTTCTTAAGGCACAATTTAGCCTTCACGTTATTTTGCACCGCTTGTTAGAATTATCATTTGTCATGGTGCGATATTCTCATTTTATGTTGGTAAGAGAATTTATGCGTAATTTCATGTTTGATTTGAATGTGGAGTAGCAAGCATCTCATTGAGTATAATTCGTTATACTTATCCCTCTTTAATTACAATTTCAGGTAAAAATTAGTATGCTGGACGATGGTGGATAGATTTGCTATTGGACTAATGGATCCTCGTTATGAAGTACTTTAATTTTTGCTATTGGACCAATGGACTCATCCAATACCCCTTTTTATGTCATGGTTATTCCAAAGTCCATACATGCGAAATGAAAGTTTAAGTTCATTGCACTTTGTTTTCATCAATAATTCCTAAGCCTCTTCAAATATGTGAAAATCGATCATCCGCTAGAGGTTTGGTAAAGATATCGGCCAATTGGTTCTTAGTTTTTATGAATTCTAACATGATTTCTCCCTTCTGTGCATGATCTCTGAGAAAGTGGTGTCTAATTTCAATGTGTTTAGTTTGAGAGTGCAAAATGGGATTTTTAGACAAGTTGATAGCACTAGCGTTATCACAAGATAAATGATAATCACAAAGAGTTTGTTTCTTCGAAAGTGCTTGTGCACAACAACTTGCTACCAAAATATATTCTGCCTCGACGATAGATAGTGCAGCAAAATTTTATTTCTTGCTAAACCAAGACACAAGTGCAAAGCCTAGAAAATGACAAATTTTGCTATTACTTTCATGATCAATATTGTATCCAGAATAACTAATTATGTCAATGTGAGTGCCCTTTGGATACCAAAGTCCTAAAGTTCTAGTTCCACTTATATATCAAAAAATTATTTTTACAGCACATAAATGTGATTCCTTAGATTAGATTGAAATCTAACACATAAGCACACACTAAACATAATTATCACGTCTGCTAACAGTTAATAAAGAAGGGATCGGATCATACCTCGATCTTTTGTGATGTCAACTGGAGTGCCTTGCTCATCTTTGTCAAGCTTTAAAGATGTGCTTATTGTGTGGTCATAGGCTTAAGGTATCCATATCAAATCTTTTGAGCATGTTTAATATGTACTTATTTTGATTTATGAAAGTACCGTTAGTTGTTTGCTTAATTTAAAGACCGAGGAAGAATTCTAGTTCTTTCATCATGCTCATTCCAAATTCTTTACTCAGGCATTTTGAAAATTCTTCACAAAGACGGATATTAGTAGCACCAAAAATAATGTTATCAACATAAATTTGAAAAATAAGCATATCTTCTCTGTCTGTTTTAACAAAAATTTTAGTGTTCACTTTTCCAATCGAAAATCCATTTGAAAGAATAAATTTGCTCAAACATTCGTACGAAGCTCTTAGAGCTTGCTTCAAACCGTAAAGAGCTTTTCTAAATTTAAAAACATGATCTGGATACTTGTGATCTTTGAAACCGGAAGGTTGCTCAACTAAGACTTCTTTTTGAATAAATCCATTCAAAAATGTATTTTTAACATCCATTTGATAAAGTATAAAGCCTTCATAACATACAAATACAAGAAGCATGCGAATGGATTCTAATCTAGCTACCAGAGCAAATGTTTCTTCAAAATCGATGCCTTCTTCTTAATTGAAACCTTGGGCCACTAATTTAGTCTCGTTACCCACATTTATTCTATTTTCATCTCATTTGCTTCTAAAGACCCATTTTGTACCAATTATGGTTTGATTGTTTGGTTGAGCAACTAAATCCCAAACATGAATTCTTTCGAATTGATTCAGTTTCCCATGCATCGCTAGAATCCAAAACTCATCAAACTCGGCTTCTTTGAAATTTTTATTTCGAACTGAGAAACGAATGCGCATCTACCAAGATGATTTTTAAAAGAGGTTCTAGTAGCAGTACCTTTGGATGGATCACCTATTATGAGCTCTTTGGGATGAGATGAAACAAACTTTCATTCTTTTACTAGTGAGGGATCACTTTGTGCTTTATTTTATTTCTCTTCACTCTCTTGAATGTTGGGCTCCTTCGCTTGTTTTTCATTGGGAGCATCCTTGTTTTGGTCTTGAATATTAATTTGTTCGAATGGAGCTTCCAAACCGACACCGCCATCAATACCTTTCTCACGATCAAAAGAGTTAATTTCATCAAAAGTAACATACATGGATTCCTCAAGGACTAGTGTTCATTTGTTAAAAGCTCTATAAGCTTTGCTAGTCGATGAATATCCTAGGAAAATTCCAACAACGGATTTTGAATCGAATTTTACCAAATTATCTTTTGTATTTAAAATGAAGCATTTGCATACGAAAACATGAAAATAACTAATATTTGGAATTCTATTTTTCCAAAGCTCGTAAGGAGTTTTAGTTTTCTTTTGACTTACTAGAACTTTATTTACAATGTAGCAGGCGATGTTAATAGTTTCGGCCCAAAAATACTTTGGCAAATTAATTTCATTTAATATGGCCCTAGCCATTTCTTGCAATGTACGACTCTTCCTTTTTACTGCACCATTTTGAGGGGTTCAGGGAGCCGAGAAATTATGCTCATATCCATGTTCATTACAAAAATCATCAAAGCCAACATTATTAAAATTCTCCACCATGGTCACTTCTAACATTTGTAATAGTATAACCCTTTTCATTTTCAACTTTCTTACAAAAATGTTTAAAGGCTTTTAAAGCTTCATCTTTTAATCTTAAAAATATAACCCAAGTAAATCTTTAAAAATCATTGACAATAACGAAGGCAAAATGTTTACTGCCTAAGCTAGTTGTTCTAGATGGTCCAAAAAGATCCAAGTGGAAAAGTTGTAACGGTTCTGTAGTTAAAGAATGAAGTTTAGGCTTGAAAGGATTTTTTGCTTGTTTTTCAAATTGAAATGCATCAAAAATTATATCTTTTTCAAATGTCAAATTCGGCAATCCTTTCACAAAACAATTTTTGGAAATTTTCGAAAGAAGATACATGCTAACATGACCTAGTCTTCTATGCCATTGCCATGCTTCATCTTTCAAGCTTAGTAACCAATTTTCATTATTTTCAAATCCAATATTTATGATATAAATGTAAGTGTTATGCCCTAGACCCAATCGATTTAGGTTGTAAACACTTTTAATATGTTTAATGTATTTAATTTTGGCAAGATCTATTATTTATTTAAATTAATATTCTGATAAATAATATTAAATAATAGAGTCCGAAGATTCAAGTTTAAGTGATTTGTTAATCACAAGGAGTTGTGATTGTGAGATGCAAATTACATATGATTGGATCTTGAACAATCCATGGTCATAAGTAATAACAAGATACGGATATCGTTATTACGGATAGATCATCACGTGTGGCATTTCTTACTTGTGAAGTAAGTAGCTGATCTCACAAGCTAAAGTGTGGTGACACTTAAATGAACACGCGGATGTTTTAGAACGAAACATTGGAGACCCGCTAAGAGATTCCGCATGGATAGCTATCTGAGTGTCAGTGGTTGATCTCTAATGTTCGGTAGTGGAATTGGTCCTTTGACTTGAGGTCGTCATAATACCTTATATGAGGACAGTCATACTTTGACGGTGCTGGATGTTGCTCTGCTAAGGGCTGCTAATAGACATCGCTCGGGTATGTCAAAAACCATATGAAGGTTGTGAATGACTGATAAAGGAATCGTCACTCTTAGATAGTAAGAGATTGTGATCTACATTTCATTCAATTAAGTTGATAACGAAATCCTTAACCAAGGTACGCTTATAAGTCGAAAAGGAGTTTTTGACTCATGTTGACTTAATGGTAGAATGAAAGATATGATCGATAATCGAGATTGACACACTTCAATATCTCGTAATTGATCGGATCATATTAACGAAGGAATAATAGTTTCATGGTAAATGAACAGGTTTGGTCTTGTCATACCATGTGACATTTTCCGTCACATGTGTTGCCCAGATACATTGCTAAATGTCAATTTAGGACGGCGAGTGTGAATTGGTGAAAAATTAAAAGGGTGTTTTAATTTATCAGTTTTGATTAGATCAAAATAATATTTCACATCGTTAGGCATTGTGATCGGGAACCTGATGGGTCCCACACAAAAGAGAATTGGAAGATTGCAATTTGTCAATTAATTAATTTAACAATCGTTGGATAAATTAATTAATTGTGTTGGTTATTTATAGCCCCAGATTAATTAATTGGATTAATTAATTCACGGAGCGAATTTAATTAAATGGGTTAATTAAATATTGGACCGGACTAGGCCGAGCCTATTTGGGCTTATATAAATACATGGCTAGAGTTTTAAATTTATACAGTTTTCATAATTCTTGCTAAAACAAGAGTAGAAACCCTAGCAGTTGCAATCTATTCTTCGTGTGGAATTCATTGGAGGCTAGACAATTGGACAGCTGTGGGAGACAGATCTAAGTTGTTGGAGCAAAGATAACGCAAAGGAGTTTGCAAATCCAAGAAAAGGTACAACTTTTATCACAGTTCCTATCTAAATACAAAGATGAATCCTGGTGGGAATTGAAATT